ACCGAACGCAGAACCGATAACTAATATCGAGAAAATCGTGTCACGTGGTTTGATGACGTCAGAGGGACTGGCAGTGGATTGGGTTAACCACAAACTGTACTGGGTCGAGAGCTACCTTGATCAAATCGAAGTTTCAAACTTTTGGGGCAAGGAACGACTGACTGTTATATCGGGCGAAATGAAGAACCCCAGAGGCATTGTTTTATACCCTCGATTAGGGTGGGTTCAAACGGTCACTCATTCAAATGTGGCCATTTATTTAACGTCGCATTTTTTAATTAATTTTGTAGTTTCCTAAAAAATGTACTACATATATATGCATATTGATCTGGTGTCGATAACAAAAATGTAAATTTAGTTACATGTTCTGGACTGATTGGGACCCGAAGTATCCAAGAATAGAGCGGGCATCGATGAGTGGCGATAATAGAGTTGTAATATTCAACGTCTCCAAGGTGGTGGGTGCTGGCTGGCCCAACGGGATCGCCATCGACCACGAGTTGGTTCGTCTCTACTGGATTGATGCAAAGTTAGGGGGATATTTAACGGTGGCTTTGGGGAATGTGTTTCTCTTTGTTGTTAGTTGCAGTGGCCTCAGTCCGGGACCTCACAATCATTCAATCATTAAACTATATTTTTAGTAATGTGGGTGGGCTATGTTTTGTGAGTCTACCGTTTATAAAATTTTCATCGTTCTGTTTCTAATAGGTTCAAAACATTTTTATTCATAAAATTTTCATGCAAAAAAAAGATCTGATTCAATCCACACGATAACTTTCGACGGTGGGGATGAGAGGGAGATCCTCAGGGGCTACGAGTACCTCTCCCACCCCTTTTCCATCACCATCATCGACCATCAGATGATCTGGACTGACTGGAAGACCAACTCCATCTACATGGTCGGTTGATCAGTGAGCCAGTGATTAAGGGCTGGATTGAATGGAGGATTGATTGAACGATGGAACGAATAAGCGAATAATTGAACAATGGAATGAATAAGTGAAGGATTGAACAATGGAATGAATAAGTGAAGGATTGAACAATGGAATGCATGAATGAACAAAGAAATGGTTGAACAAAGGACGAATGAATGATTAAATAAATTACTAATTACCGTTATTAATAACATTTATTCACTTACACTAGTAATTTCATGATAAATATCATTGTAATAGGATGATAATCACCACACTCACGCACACTCACACACACACACACACACACACACACACACACACACACACATAGATACACACACACACACACACACATGCAAGCATTTAGGACCGACAAACATACTTCTATTCAGGCGAACAAATTTAATGGATCTAACGTTCAGCAATTAATAAAGACAGCCACACAACCTTTTGACCTGCACGCTTTTCATCCCGTTGTACAAGACTATAGTATGTTTGTTTGTCTATCTGTCTGTCTGTTTGTTTGTCTGTCTGTTTGTCTGTCTGCCTGTTTGTTTGTCTGTCTGTCTTCTTCAAGAGGCCAACTGACGATATTGATAATGATGTCTACGCAGTTGAGAGTCCATGCTTCTCCAGTCAGTTGAACGAGATGGTGGATCGCAAGTTGTGCGGCTTCAACGCGGTCTGCCTGCTGACGCTCGACGGCAAGCACGCCTGCAAGTGTCCGCACCTCATGCAGATGGATGCCAACGACAACTGCACATGTATGTTTTGTTGTTGTTGTTGTTGTTACTGTTGTTATGTAAACTCTCACACAAACACGCACACACAGGCACACACACACACGCGCGCGCACACACACAGACAGTCCCAAGCTCCTTCTGATCTTACACAGTCAGCAACTTCGCGGAGTCTACCCAGACAACGTCCATCAAAACGCACTGACAACTATCTTGCAGCCACTGCCCAACCACATCTTCACGGACGTCGACTTCGACGGCTTGTCTAAGAAGTTGTTCCTAAGCAGCAGTGGCGGAGTTCACAGCGGTGGATTGTATGAGGCCGATATGGATGGTGGCAGGATTGCTGAGTTGGATGCTGGTCGGTTGGTTGGCTGGTTGGCCGATTGATTGAGTGATTAACTAATTGGTTGATTGACTGAGCTGTTTTTAATTTGATTGACTGGATGGATCTGTAATTGAAAATGTTAATTTTAAATTTCTAAAAAATTTGTTTCCCACTCACCCTTGAAGGCGGGCACAACGTGACCTGCGTCGCTCGTCATCCAAATCGTGACGTAATGTTCACCTGCGTCATAGAAAAAACGCCATCGGGGCAGATTCAAGGTCAGATAATCATGTCGAAGGTCAATGGGTCACTGAAGAGAGTCTTACCGATCCCCGGAGAATACGTTGGAAATCCCCATTCATTGGTCATCCTGAGGTGGTGAATGTGTGGATGTGTTGTTTGGTCGCATGTGCTATTCCATTATCATGATGGGAAGTGGATCGTTGGATGTTGAAATTATCATCGTCGTCGTCCTAGCAAGGCTTCCCATTTAGTTTTATTGACAGAGGAAGATCGTTCCTCATTCGAATGCAGTCAGCGCGCCAGTGAGATCAAGTGCCTGCCTCACTGCCCAGCTATCATTCTTAACCACAACTGCCATACTTTTCATGAATAATAATAATAATTTCTTTCCAACAGTCCAGTAACAATAGCCTGGATCGACAGGGTGAGGAATGAGGTGTTCGTCTTGCGAGATATCAACCCGAACCGGGAGTACCGCATTGATGGGCTGACCGGAGGCTACGAAAGCCAGGGCGGCAGTCTTAACAATAGCGATGTTGTTGCTGGTTAGTTGCTGTGATGGTTATGACGACGATGATGATGGCGACGATGATGATGAAACGGTGAGACAACGATGGCATCCACTTTCATCTGCCGCTCATAAACCAGGCCTGTCATACGACCAGCGATCCAAATTTTTGTGGTGGTTCATCAACCACCCGACCAACCAGTCAACGATCTTCAACCAACGAATCGGCGACGAGCCGTCATACTCGCCTACAAAGTTCGATTTTGATCGTCCCTTCCATACAATTCAATCGTTGCTGGCCGACGGCGATGACTTGTACGTGGTGGAGAAGCGCTCGAACGCCACCCTCCTAATTCTAGTGAATGTTAGTGCCAGGAATGGAACTGTGCTCATTAAGAACATGACCAGTCCTGTGGTAAAGATGAAGATGTTTCTACTGAGGAGCGAAAGTGGTGGGTTTTCATTTTATTGACTGGTTGAATTTTATGTCGTCTGTGCATCGTTCATGAAATACCCGGTGTGGGTGTGGGCATTTTATGGACGGTGCTCGCAGATGTTGAAGTATCCATCGTTCCAGTCCTCCTTCATACTCGATACATGAAGAGTGAAGTTGACTTTAATAATTACAAAATCGAACCTAAGAGGCGAATAAACAACCGTCCTTCAAATCAACAAAAATACGCTCACATGCACATCATGCAGATGCTGAAATGCCTGGATGCTGCAACCACCATTGCATCTCATCCTTCTCCTCAGGCCGGCATGATGTTGATGACTGCGTTTGTGCCAATGGTTTTGGTAGGGATAGTTCGGATAGAAGAATTTGCAAAGGTAGGTCGGTTGGTCGGTCGGTCGGCTGGTTGGTTGGTTTGTTGGATGGTTGGTTGAATTGTTGATGGATGGATGAATGTATGAATGAATGAATGAATTAATTAATTAATTAATGGATGAGTTAATTAATTAATTTACAGTGGAAGTATTGACGAACGGATTAGTGAAATCTTAATAATATTGTTCATTGTCATTCGTTCGTTCGTTCGTTCATTCATTCATTCATTAATTTAACCTTATCCTCATTGCTATGATGACGACGACGACGATGATGGTGGTGATAATTATTCCTCTTTTCAGCGCACCAAAACATGTTGATATACTCAACTGGATTTAGCATAAAAGTGATCAGCTTCGATAACTTGAGTAAAGTCGGGATTCGTGAGGTCAGCAGGTTCTCCCTTGTCACCAATGTCACTTACGTTGTTTCTCTCAGCTATTTATTTGGTTGGTTGGTTGGCTGGTTGGTTGGTACTGGTTGGTTGGTTGGTACTGGTTGGTTGGTTGGCTGGTTGGTTTGCTGGTTGGTTTGCTGGTTGGTTAGCTGGTTGGTTGGCTGGTTGGTTGGCTGGTTGGTTGGTTGGTGCTGCTGCTGATGTTGTTGGTGTTTTTGTTTTTCTGTCGGTTGATGTTTGTGTTGACACATGCTTGATTTTAATGCGAATCGTTGTGGTTAACATAATCTAACAATACAACAACACATCAACAACAACAACAACAACACAGCCGACCAGAAACTATTATGGATGGACAACAGCAGGAAGCAGATATCTTCGATGCATGTGAGTGGGGCACACTTGGAAAGGGTCGTCGGTCTGGGAGGCGTGAATGGCGAACTTACGGGGTCAGAGTTCATCGCTGCTGATTGGGTTACTGGTAAGTGATTATGATGAGGAGGATGATGACGACGACGGTGGCTATGGAATGATGGCGATGATTAAAACGACCATGAACCAATTGCACAACTCGTCAGGGAATCTTTATTGGACCGACAGCACGAACAACTGCATATACGTAATGAAGCAACAAGCTGAACAGCAGCAGCACATTTACAAACGCTTGCTGCTCAGTAACCTCAATCAACCTTTTAAAATTCAAGTCGATCCAATCAATGGGTTTGTTGTATGATGATTGCCGTGATGATGATGCGATGATAGCAGTCAATGGCGACGAACAAAATAATCACACACACACAAACACACACACACACACACACATGAACCAACACACAACGGCACAGACAAACAAACATACAAACAACTTTAGTTTCTTATACTGGATGGAAGCGAAGTCGCGAAGCAACAAAGACCAGTCACGCCTCTTCAGATCGAGACTCGATGGCTCCAACATCAGCGTCGTACAGAACTTCTTCCAGCCCCAGCAACACTTCGTACACAACTTGTACACGGACACTCTCTATTGGAGGCAAAACCAATCACTCTTCAGTGCATTCGATGTTGGCAGACGATCTGTCAAGCCCATCCCTATTCCTGGGGCCACCAACAGTTGGACTGTCCTGAACAGCACCATCTTCTGGGCTGCCAAGTTCGGCATTTTGTTGCTTTCGTGTTGTTTTTGTTTTCATTTATTTATTATTCAGTGATGAAGAGTGCTTCATCAGTGTGGGTTTATGCCTGGTAGGGGAACGGTGGATGCGTTGTTCATGGCGAGAATGTTGCAGGAGAATTATAGAAAGAAGAAACGAAGATTGTACATGTGTTTTGTGGATCTAGAAAAGGCTTTTGATCGAGTACCGAGGAAGGTCATTGAATGGGCGTTGAGGAAGAAAGGAGTGAATGAGAGACTTGTTAAAGCTGTGATGCAGCTGTATGAAGGGGCAAAGACAAAGGTGAGGGTTGGAAGGGGGATGTCGGACGCTTTTAGTGTTAAGGTAGGAGTGCATCAAGGATCAGTGTTATCACCGTTTCTGTTTGCAATTGTGATGGATGTTGTGTGTGGAAACATAATGGAGGGGTTGTTATTTGAGATTTTGTATGCAGATGATTTAGTCTTGATGGCTGATAGCATGGAAGAATTGCAGTTAAAATTTGACAGATGGAAAAGTGTTATTGAAAAGAAAGGGTTAAAAGTCAATATTGGTAAGACGAAGGTAATGGTGAGTGGGGAAGG